TTTCATCGATTTCGTCACTTCCGGCTTTTCCTTTGGCTTGGCTTTGGCCTCTGTCTTCTTCTCCTTCCTCTCTTCTCCGCCACCGCCATTCTCTTTCTTGTTGTTCTTGTCTTCCTCTGGCTTTTTCTGATCCACCGTTGGTCGGGGTTCTGCCGGATTTACTTTTCCGATCACGTCGGTATCTTCGTGTGGCCATTGACGTATTTCGCAAATTCATCACCTTTTTATACACAAATCAGAGATAGACCAACAAATCAATATACTGAGTCACCAAATATCAGTAAAAGCCCAAAATAATTGATATGAATCACATATGATTCTTCTCACCATAGCTTTTTTCTGTCTTCTCGCCATCTAAGCCACCCTCGCCACCAATATTTCTCTCTCCTCCATCCTTTTTTTTGTGATCACATCTTGTTAGAGTATGTGTGACTCATATTTGCTGTGTGCATAATGACAAGGAGCAGATATTTGCCTTGCAGGATTTATATAAAGCGGACGCTGATTAGTTGGGGTGCGGGTATTTTTGTAAATACGTCCATATTAGGGTTATATAAATACTTAAGATGTAACCCTACTTCAATAATAGAAAAGAACGGCCGCTCGCTCTCGTGGATGTAGGCACATTGCCGAACCACGTAAATCTCTGTGTGTTATTTTCTCCTGTTTTCTTAATTGTTTGATTCCTTACTATTCACCATAATTGCTGCACGATCACAACAATTGGTATCAGCGCTAGACTACGATGTCTGGGATTTCCTCTACAAAATTCGACATCATGAAGTTTGACGGAACTGAGAATTTCGAATTATGACAGAGGAGGGTGAAGGACCTGTTAGTGCAGCAGGGCATGGTGAAGGCATTATACGGAAAACAAACAGCAGGAATAGACGACATGGATTGGAAAGAATTGGAAGCGAAGGCTGTGGCGACAATTAGGCTTTGTCTGGTTAATGAAGTGATGTATCACGTCATGGATGAGGAATCACCGACGGAAGTTTGGTTGAAACTGAAAAGTCGGTATATGTCCAAGTTGTTGACGAACAAGCTTTATCTTAAGCAGAAACTATATGGTCTTAAGATGTCAGAGGGCTCGGATTTGACCCAACACATCAACGTGTTCAATCAGATCATCAGCGATCTGAAGCGAGTTGATGTGAAGTTCGAAGACGAAGACAAGGCGCTGATGTTGCTGAATTCCCTACCGGCGTCTCCTACGTACGAGAATTTGGTTACGACTCTGATGTGGGGGAAAGAAACCCTCGAATTGGAGGATGTCACAGGTGCTCTGTTAGGTTTTCATCAGCGAAAGAAAGCCAGTGATGAGGCTTCACAAGGTGAAGGGCTTGTGGTGAAAGGTAACTAGGAACGTGGAAGAAGCAAATCTCAGAATGGATCGGGTAACAATAAAGCCCGGTCCAAGTCAAGGAAGAAGAAGAAGGACGTCTATGTCTCATGTTACAAGTGCGGGAAAAAGGGGCACTTTAAACGGGACTGTCCAAAGAAAAAGAAAGGGAATTCAGAGAACAAAGAGGGTGCATCAAAGTCTGCAAACGTAGTGGAAGAAGAAGATTCAGAGAGTGGTGACGGAGATATGCTTTCTGTTTTATCTAGTTCAAATCGTTTAACAGATTCTTGGATTATGGATTCAACATTTTCCTATCACATGACACCCAACAAAGATTGGTTTGACACCTACAGGTCAGTAAATTCTGGTTCTGTTCTGATGGGTAATGATGCATCTTGCAAAGTTGTTGAAATAGGAAATATTAGAATTAAGATGTTTGATGGTATGGTTAGAACGTTGTGTGATGTTAGACATGTACCGGATCTAAGGAAGAATTTGATTTCATTAGGCACTTTGGATTGTAATGGTTATAATTACAAATCTATAAGTGGAGTAATGAAAGTAAGTAAAGGCATGCTGACAGTGATGAAGGGACAGAAAGTAGTAGGAAACATTTACAGACTGCTGGGTACTACAATTGTAGGTGGAGTTGCTGCTGTAGAGTCTGAATCAGATAATACAGTCTTGTGGCATATGCGGCTGGGTCATATGAGTGAGCGTGGGATGATAGAGCTTCATAAGAAAAATCTATTGAAGGGTGTCAAGACATGCAAGCTCAATTTTTGCAAATATTGTGTTCTTGGAAAACAGAATAGGGTGCAGTTCAAGACAGCCACACACAAGACAGAGGGGGTTCTCGACTATGTCCATACAGATGTTTGGGGACCAGTTAGCATACTATCACGGGGAGGATACATGTATTTCGTGAGTTTCATTGATGATTACTCACGAAAGGTCTAGGTGTACTTCATGCGGCACAAGTCAGAAGCGTTTGCCAAGTTCAAGCTGTGGAAAGCTGAAGTAGAGAACCAGACAGGGAGGAAGATTAAATGCCTCAGGTCAGATAATGGTACTGAGTACACAGATTCAAAGTTCCAGGAGTTGTGTGAGCAACATGGGATCAAGAGACACTTCACAGTCCGCAAGACACCACAACAAAATGGTGTAGCGGAAAGGATGAACAGAACGATAGCCGAGAAAGCTCGGTGTCTCAGGTTGAATGCAGGGCTTGCAAAGAATTTCTGGGCAGAGGCAGTGAATATGACATGTTTCTTGATTAACAGATCACCGAGGGCAGCACTAGATGGGAAAGTATCAGAGGAAGTGTGGACAGGCAGTGAGGTAGACTACTCTGGTTTGAGAGTGTTTGGATGTCCAGCCTATGTACATGTTTCTAGTGAGGAGAGGTCGAAGCTTGATGCGAAGTCTAGACAGTGTATCTTTCTGGGATATCAGAAAGGAGTGAAAGGCTTCAAGCTCTGGGATCCGAAGGCAAACAAGATGGTGATCAGTAGAGATGTGATTTTTGATGAAAAAGCCATGTTGCAGCGTACTCAGGAAGAAGAGAAACAAGTACCAGAAAACTGTAGCACTAATGACCATGTGGTGCAGGTGAAGCTAGAGAATCATGGTAGAGAAGAGGATGCTTAGCATGTAGAGCGTTCTATCTCAGGTGATCAACAACATCATAGTATAGCCACAGACAGGCCCAAACGCAATATCAAGCCACCTACCAGGTATGGTTTTGAAGATTTGGTTTCTTATGCACTTATTACTAGTAGCGGGGATCCTACAACTTTTTCAGGAGGCAGTACAAAGCCAAGAGAAAAGTAGATGGATGGGTGCTATGGTGGAGGAGATGGAGTCTCTGCATAAGAACCAGACGTGGGAGTTGGTGGAACTTCCCGAGGGAAAGAGAGCAATAGGGTGCAAATGAATGTATAAGAAGAAAGAAGCAGTATCAGAAAATGAGGGAGAAAAATTCAAGGCTCGTCTAGTAGCAAAGGGTTACTCACAGAGAAAAGGGGTTGACTATGATGAGATCTTCTCCCCCGTGGTCAGACACACTTCCATCAGGACAGTGTTGGCTCTAGTAGCATATTCAGATATGCCGTTGGAGCAGATGGATGTAAAGACAGCTTTCCTTCATGGCGACTTGGAGGAACGGATTTACATGGTACAGCCAGAAGGGTTCAGTCTCCCTGGCGAGGAACATTTGGTCTGTAATTTGAAGAAATCACTTTATGGGCTGAAGCAGTCTCCGAGGCAGTGGTACAAACGATTTGACTCTTACATGATCCGAATTGGCTACAAAAGGTGTGAGTATGATTGTTGTGTCTATGTAAAAAGGCTTGATGATGATTCATTTATTTTTCTGTTACTTTATGTGGATGATATGTTGATTGCTGCCAAGAGTATGAGTGAGGTCAATAAGTTGAAGACTTTGTTGAGTAGAGAATTTGACATGAAGGATTTGGGTGCGGCCAAGAAGATTCTTGGGATGGAGATTCGCAGGGACAGAGCCTCCAGGAGATTATGGCTATCTCAGCATAGCTATGTTGAGAAGGTGTTGGACAGGTTCAACATGAGTTATGCAAAATCAGTAAGTACACCTTTGGCGAATCATTTCAGATTGTCTATCGCTCAGTGCCCGAAGACAGATGATGAAGTTCATGACATGTCAAAGGTCTCATATGCTAGTGCAGTGGGGTGTTTGATGTATGCTATGGTTTGTACAAGACCAGATTTGGCACAAGCTGTCAGCGTGGTTAGCAAGTTTCTTTCAAATCCGGGTCGACAGCATTGGGATGCAGTCAAGTGGATTTTCAGATACTTGAGGGGCACTACAGACTATGGCATCAGGTTTAGCAGATAACAGAGTGACCCTTCAGTTATGGGATATGTGGATGCAGACTATGCAGGGGACTTGGATGACAGGAGGTCTACCACAGGTTATGTGTTTACTCTTGTGGGAGGATCTATTTGTTGGAAGTCCATGGTACAACCTATAATTGCACTATCTACTACTGAGTCAGAGTATATGGCAGTAGCTGAGGCTGCCAAAGAGGCTTTGTGGCTTACAGGTTTAGTCAAGGAGCTGGGTGCCCAGCAAGGTGGAGTTCAATTGCATTGTGACAGTCAGAGTGCCATTTATTTGGCAAAGAACCAGGTGTATCATGCGAGGACCAAACATATAGATGTGAGGTTTCATAAGATCAGGGAACTGGTTTCTTCTGGTGAACTATTACTTGAGAAAGTTCACACTTCTGAGAATGCAGCAGACATGTTGACAAAGCCTGTTACTACAGACAAGTTCAAGCACTGCTTGGACTTGATTAATGTCTCTAGTTGCTAGATGGGAGATGCCTCAACTCAGCGTCCTCGGTGGAGTTCCGAATACATGTCCTCTTTTTTCTTCTAAGGGGTGAATATTTGCCAAGGTGGAGATTATTAGAGTATGTGTGTGGCTCATATTTGCTGTGTGCATAATGGCAAGGAGGCAGATGCCGGAGCGGAGTCCGCGACGGCATTTGTCTTGCGGGATTTATATAAAGGGGACGCTGATTAGTTGGGGGTGCGGGGGCAACGCCCCTGCGGTACGGTACAGGGGTATTTTTATAAATACGTCCATATTAGGGTTATATAAATACTTAAGATGTAACCCTACTTCAATAATGGAAAAGAACGGCCGCTCGCTCTCGTGGATGTAGGCACATTGCCGAACCACGTAAATCTCTGTGTGTTATTTTCTCCTGCTTTCTTAATTGTTTGATTCTTTACTATTCACCATAATTACTGCACGATCACAACACATCCGCTTTTCTTTTTCTTCTCATCTCCCTTCGGAGGTGAAGGTGGAACAATCTCAACATATTTCTTCAGCCGGCGCTCCAGTGACTTGGCCAGAGCGTTCATGTCCATTATTGACCCTTTGACTGTCACCAGACCATTTGCACCGTCGATGGCCATCTGATGATATCCTATAGCAGTAAACGCCGTTAATACTCCGTTACGGTCTGGTGCATATACAAACAAAAAAAAACAGAGTATTTGTAATGGAGAAAGACATACGTTTTAAAATGTTACCAATTGTCTTGGTCACTACTTTCTGAATCATCTTGGTACATCCTATGCAATCGCAATGCAAATGCACCTTCAGCGTCGCCGTTGCCAATTGAGGCTGGACTAACAAAAAAAAAAAGATTACAATAAAATCAATGGAACAGAGAAGCAAATAGATTAATAATTTCGATGAATATTAATTTTATTTTGCTTAAATGCGCGATCACAGTAACTACAACCTCATTGGATTTCTTCTGTTCTAGCTTTTCCTTTGGCTTGTCTATGGCATCTCTCTTCGTTTTCCGTTCTCCGCCGCCGTCGCCATTCTTCTTCTTCTTGTCATTTTTCATATCTTTCAACATGAGAATTCATACATGTCAGGGAAACGCGATCTTCGAAAATCATGAAACGAAAATTCGTTGAATCTATGGATTTGTCGTACCTGCAAAACCAAGGATGCCCTTTGTTGTTCTTGCTCTTTTTCTGCAATCAAACACAAAAACAGCACTGAGAGAGAGAGAGACAGATTGATTCTCAGGTTATACTGACCTCCTCCATTGTCAGTCTCCTATATATTCCTGAACAAATCACTTCTGCAAGGAAGTTACTAGGAAACTTCGGTGTTTTCCTGAGCAAATCACTTCTGCAAGGAAATTACTAGGAAACTTCGGTGTGTTGTCCTGAACAAATCACTTCTGCAATGGAGGTCGGTGGGTCGGCCAGTCACGTTATATCCTATCCTAAGGTTATATTCAATTAAGTGAACGAGGCTAATAAATTAAATTCTAGTAATAATTAGGTCAATAAATTAAATTCTAATTGTATTGTTATTTTTTATTACCATACTACTATTATTCTATTTTATTTTAATAAACACATGAAAGGTGTAATATGTTACTTTTTATTTCATCGTTGTTAATCACAATTGAAAATAAGTAAGAACAACGGTTAAAAATTATTTTTTCGTATACATTAAAAATAAATTTTGATATCGTATTTTTATCTTTATATTTTTAATAAAATAATATATCCAAAATAAGTTTATCAAATATTATATTTCAAATAATGTGGCAAATTTTTATGTATTCAATATTTAGTGTGAGTGAGTAAAATTTACTAATCTAACATTTTGTACTGATTTAAAATAAAAAATTTAGTAAATATAACAATACTCTTATACTTTACCTGAGAAAGTGAAGAACTTAATGAGAGAACTGTTGAAGTCTTAATTTTGTTTTTTGTTTTTTAGGATATAAGAGTATGTGATTATAAATCTATATTTATTTATATTACCTCATAACCATTTATCTTTATTGATCTCTTCACATTGTTATATTTATCTCTTTTTGTATTTTACTTTTTTTTTAATTGTATATATGGATTTTTTGTTCAAGAGCCCCAAGCTTGTCAAATAGATGGAGGTGACCAGGTGAGAGAGAGAGAGAGAGAGAGAGAGAGAGAGGGGGGGGGGGATCCGGCTCCTCTGCTGCTAATTTTTTAACATCCGAAGATCCTCAGTGGAGAGAGAGAAGATGGAAGAGACTGAGAAAAATTGCTATTGGTCCATGGTAGTTGAAGGGTTACACATAAATGAATGGGTTTACGAGAGGAAGTGGTAAATAAATCTCACGGATTAATTCTAAGGTACAAACCAAAAATAATTCCCCAAACAATAGTTATAAATAAAAAAAAATATTATTTGAACTTAATTTTGAGATTCAATATCTTAACTCAATCAATTAAAATGGAGTCTATTTAACATCAAAACTTATAATTAATTTTATTATTATATTGAACTAGGTCTCTGCATTAATTCTTTATAGCATTGCTTATAAATAAATCAAATTATAAAATACGAATCATTCAATTTTGATAGAGCAAATTTGTTGAAAAAATTGAATGATTATCACATGTCGGCAGCGAACCTTTTCGGAACGGGATAGGGATGGACACGACTATTCCAACTGGGAGTAAATATTGAATGCAACGGTGATATCACGTCACCATTGATGATATGATATCACTTACTAATAATAAAACTCAAATAAAAAAAGGTGAACCCTATTTGAGCTTACATGATAGGAGGGTAAAAAATTATTTGTTTATATGATAAATTAGTTAATAATTTTTGTGAATTTCATATATTTATTTATTTTAATATTATTAATTAATCATGTCACATGATATCACCGTGATAATGAATATTTTCGCCCCAGCCCGGATCCAATCAATTTCTATTGATCATGTCCCTTTACCAACCGTTGTACTTTGTCGTGGGGTTTTGGCTTTACGAGATTTTTGATGCTAATTTTATTTTGCACCCCCAAAAATAGTTTTTTATTAAATTGTAGCTCCAAATATTAAAAATCTAATTTTACACTTTTAATGTTATAAATTGATAACAATGTAGACTTGATTCAGATTGTCCTTTGGTTTTCCATCATAAATTAAAACATATGAGGTGTAAATATTTTGAGCATGAGAATGAGGTATATCTATACTTACAGATATTCGTCTGTAATTAATTTGACACCATTTTGTGTATGAAAAATAAGTTTCATTAATTGAATAGAGCATAACTCTATTATATATAATTCACATTAGGTGTCAACAATATGTGAATTTACACAAGTTCTTTCATAATTTCTTTCTCTTAATCTCTTAATGTCCAAAATTTTCCTTTTCCTCTATTAATGCTTGAGTTTCATGTTTCCAATTTTCTTTTTATACCTGGGAAAAGGAAGGCAGCAACAAATAATTATTCAATTGTACTTGAGATTGTATGAATTGTTCCAAGGGAATGCAAAAAGAAAAAAAAACCAATCAACTTGATATGTTTTAATTTTTCTTTGATTTTTGGACTTTTGTTATAGTAGTTTTTATATGGAGCTAATATAGATGTTAATTAAATGCATGCATTTGGTTGGAATTTTTTTTATGCAGATTTATATGGATAAAGGTGAACATTCTTCTATTGTTGATATTATGTTGGTGAGATGGTTAATAAATAGTTATATTATGGTAAAAATTGGGGTGATATTGAGTTCGATAAATAGGTTGAATAGTGTTTTTTTGAAATTCATGTGTTGTTTAATAATAAATAGGTCTGTTTGTCATAGAGCACCTAAAGAGTGCACAAATAATTGTAATGTGAAATTCTAAAAGCCCACAATACTTCGTTCTGTCCAACGATGTCGTCTTCTTCGTCGATTCTGTTAGGAGTAGTTGGGTTGGACGAAGGTGAGGAGGAGGGTACTGGGAAACTTCGTTGTGTTGGCTTGTGCATGTCTCCATCGGTGGACTTTCCTTTGCTTGTTTGCTTTTCTCTCTCTGATGGATTCAGTCAAGTAAGCAAGGAAAACAAAGGAAAATTTCCCTTTGCTTTTCGCAGGACATTACAGTTAGTAGCCGCCACCATTGACTAAGAAATTGGCTCATGTCGGTCACACACACACTCTCTCTATCTCTCTCTCATCATTTATTCAAATTCATCCGCCAAAAGTGAAGTTCATGAATGAACACATATCCAGGAAGTATACCATTAGAGATTTTTAACAATGGTATAGTGATCAAAATTTATGCCAAACAAAGTGGAATGTCCTGCTGTTAAAAGGGCCCATAACTTTATGAAACCAGCTATTTCAAATAGAGTACCACTGTCCAAGTGCTTTCGCCAAAATGCAACCCAACTGTCAGTTGCTTTAAGACCTTTTCACTTTCTTGGTTTTAGTGCAAGACACATACATTTCAATTAGGTTTCTTAGGTTTGTTCAAAAAAAAAAAAAATTAGGTTTCTTTAGGGTTTAGTTTTTGATATTTTTCTTATATTTTTTAAGTTGACACATGATACTAGTTCAAAAAAAAAGTCAACACATGATAAATTGTTAGAATATCCAAATACGAATAAAAAAAAATACAATATTCACATACAATAGCAGAACATAATGAATTTTGTCGTGGTTTTATTCCATATCTCGGTGTGCACACATAAATTTATGAGTTTTTAGGGTTTGGTATTTGATATTTTTTTATATTTAGTTAATTGGAACATGATAAATTGATAAAATATTTAAATACTAATTATTACTTGTGTCTAAAGGCACAAAATAATAAAAAAAATAATCAACAATAAATATATTTATATTCACATTTAAAATTAAATTACAAACATAGTGATAGTGTGGTGGGGTTGTGTGATAATGACCGACAATGATGGTGGGCGACGATGGATAGCGATAGTTGGCAACAATGGTTGTGGAAAGTGATTGACAGAGATAATGGGATGATAGTGGTAGTGGTAATATATATATGAATGAGATGACGATAAAAATAAGTGGTGATAATGGACGACGATCATCATAGCAGTGGACGACGATCATCATATTGTGGGTTCCATTTAATAGTTGTCCATTTCACGTCATTTGGTGTAAGTTTTGGACATCATACCATTATTGATTTTCGATTTCATAAGAGCTTTGACCATGTATAATCTGGTTAGACCAATGCTATTTGTAGTAAATTTGTTATTTGAAATACCAGTGGCTTGATTGAGTTTAGAAGTGTGTATATACATATAGTAATGTTATTTAGATTTAAAAATTTGATATAATTTATTGATATAATGATATAGTTTTATAGAAATCATTAGATTAATACTAAGTTTCAATGTTTGATAGAGTCTACAATCAATTCAAAAGTCATAATGAATTAAGTTAGTAAATTAGGTTTCAATAACATTACTCATATAAATATTAGCGATTGGAAAGGGTCAAGACATAATTGGATTTGAATTAATTAGTTTTTATTTGCATGCAAAAATAATAACATGGTCCATAATAATCTATGGTAAGTACCTTAATAATGAAATTTATTTTATTTTTTGGTCAATTAAGATTTATGAATTTGTTTAATATATCTTATACCATCAATTCTATTGCAATATATATATGATTGGTCGCATTAATATTATTTCTTTATATTCATATCATAATATATCTCGAGTAAATGTAAAGAATGATTATCAAATTCTCAATCCATACCCTAAGATTAAAATTTTAATATTACACTCTCAATTAGGAAAAAAATAAAAATTTAGTCCAAAACTAAATATTCGTTGCCCCTTACAATTAGTTTGTTTATTGTATTTTGTCCTTCACAAAAAACCTTTATCCATGGAGGAAAGAAAGAGTATATTCTTTCTTTTTGTTTGATGAGATAAAATAAATTTTTTATTGTGTTGTTTAATATGGAAAAAAAGAAGAGAAACATGTTATAAATTAAAATACCAAAAAAGCCCTTGAGTATCAAATTATCGAATTGAACTTTTACCATCTATTTGATAGGATGGAAAATACTGTAGATG